TGGTGAAATGAGAGAGATAGAGAGAGAAGAAAAGGCTTCTACTTCTAGGGTTAAGAGTGGTTAGGGTTTGGCTGCCTCGCGCGAGGAGGAAGAGAGGATTTTTACGTGTTCCCCAAATCGAACTAAACGTAGAAAAAAGAAAGGAGAAGAATAAGTACTAGGTCGGTGGGGTTAATTGGGTCGGTTTCTAACTCCTTCGTCGGGCGAAAAATAATTCTTATTCTTGGAACTTAAAAAATATCAACGATTATTTATTTATTAGCCTTTTTACACGCATTTTCGGATTTGTGAGAGGTGTTTTTTTTTAAAAATTAAATTTATTTTAGAATTAAAAAAGATAATAAGTAGTTGTGTTCTATAAAAATAGGATCTATTATTTGAATTTTATTTGAATTATATATTTTTAATATGAAAAAAATGTGAATTTACTATATTATCATTGATTAATTAATAATGTTTGCATGGGCATTTTCTGGTATTTTGAATGTTTCACCATCTTTTGCTTTATATATATATAATAATAATAATTTTTATATCTACTTTTTATTTATTTATTTTATTAAAAATCTCTAAAATATTGGGTAAAGACTAATTAACCTTCAATTAAAACGCTTTGATAAAATAAAAAAACCTTGGGTTAAAACATAGATACATACATCAAGACATACTAACAAGGCTAATAAATAAGTAAAGTTTGATATTAAAGACGAGTAACTTGATTTTAAATTATAACATGACAAATCATTTTAACTTTTATTAGATGAAGAAAATATTAATTTTCTTTTGTATAACTTCATCTCAAATTTTATGGATCCTTTCAAAAATGGAATTTTCTCTCTTGATTGGTTTTGCTAAACATTGTGATTGAACAAACTTTTTATTTTATAGAGATGTATGTGTGATCAGTTTGTGTATCAATTCTAATGCAACACAATGTACAAATTGATTAGTACTTGACATGAATTTAAAATGACGTAACGCGGTTTGAGTGACCCTGTTTTCACTCAAAATTCTTCTTCTTTTGGCAACATCACTCCAATTGGATTTAATCTCTCTCTCTCTCTCTCTCTCTCCCTCTAGTTTTATATTTCTCTGTTTGGAAACTGCTTGCCTTTTTTTCTTTCTTTTGCTTCTAAGTTCTGTTGTTTGTGCAACTTGGGAATGTGGTCAGTGAATTCAATGAACACTATGATGTCTCATTAGTCGATAAGGAACATCAACGACATCAACAACATGTCGTTTGTTTTGACTTAACATCACAGTAACATAACAAGTTCCATGTCAAATGTCTTCAATGAAGGCATCAAAGAATGAGTTCACTTCATTAGAATCCAAATGAACTGAACCTCTTCAAAGGTGGAGCATGAGGCACAGAAGAGCAATTGCTTACAAAAGACCAACAACCCTCCATCTGCTTCTTGTTTAATTTTCCTGCATGTTTTTTGCTGCTGCTGCTGCTGCATGATGTAGCAGAACCGCGTTTGAGCTGAAAACTGTTCTTGAAGCTCCACATTTTCCCCACAGACTCCATCCGCAGCAGCCTTCTTACATTGATCTACGTTGAATTTCCATTTTCCACATTAGGATTTTCTCTCATTCCTTCCTGATTATACATAATAAAAATTTACAGCTGAAAATCTAGTTGAGGGGAAGGCTTAATTATTCTAGAAAATGCTTGCTAATTAATGGTTATGTGATGTCCAAAATGCCAGTCTAGAGAAGTAGCTAAAATGCTTGCTAATTAATGGTTATGTGATGTCCAAAATGCCAGTCTAGAGAAGTAGCTAAGTAGCAAATCAACCCTCTCTCTCTCTCTCTCTCTCTCTATGTGCTCAACATGCATGTGAGTTTGTGAGAGTGGCCTTTCCATGTTGAACAAGTTAACTTTCCTTTGAAGGAAGCTGGACAACTAAAGCTAGCTATAACTAACCTGGCTTACAGATGAGGTTGATCCAACTGGTGGAAGCGACGTTGAAAATTGTGACACGTATGGATCTTGTCCATCAGCAACTTCACTAGCTTCATTTTTCATCCCGAGATCTCTTAGCCGGTTCAGCTCAGGCAAGATGACTGTACTGAGATCTGGCCTGTCCCTCTTCCTCAGTTCACAGCATTTCAAGGCCATTTTTGCATACGACAAAGCCTCTTCAACAGGCCAGTCTGTCACTGCAGGATCAAGTATCTCAGCAAATGCACCTTTCTCAATAGCCTCCTCAACCTGGTGGGACAAACCCATTGCAGGCTTTGCTGTGATGATCTGCAATAGCATCACCCCTAAAGAATATATGTCTGATTTCACACCCAACATTCCTGTTTGCTGATACTCTGGATCAATGTAACAAAATGTACCGGCTGCTGCTGTCATGCGGTATTGAGTGACAGCATCAGCTACAGATGGTGGAACTAGCCTAGCCAAGCCTACATCAGCAATCTTGCTCACATAGTTTCGGTCTAGGAGAATGTTTGCCGGCTTGAGGTCGCGATGCACCAACGGCTCTGGTTTTGTCTGGTGAAGAAAAAGAAGGGCAGTTGCAATTTCAGCAGCTATTTTAAAACGGACTCCCCATGGGATTGGAGGAGTGTTGCTCTTCAGGAAGAGCCGGTCTTCTAAGCTTCCATTTTCCATGTACTCATATATGAGGCAGCCATACTCTGGGCAGGCACCTACTAGGAGAACCATGTGTGGATGCCTAATGCAGCTCAAAACCTCAACCTGCATTGGAAACATCATTGTGCAAAAAAAGATTATGTGATTTCGAAAAATGATACATGAGAAGCTTTTCCATGCTGTGATCTTGTACTCCATTAAATCAATAATTTAAGTTATCTTCATGCGTTAAGTGGATTTTTTCATAATCTTTTGTGCTTGTTGTCTGTCTATGTGTGTTTGTTTCCATACATCTGCTTTCTGTAAAAATGTACAAGGACCATAATTTACCTCTTGTTGAAATTGCCTTTGCCCCTGTGATATGTCTGGCCTCAAGACCTTGATGGCAACAGCAGTGTGATCAAGCCAGGCTCTATAAACAGGTCCATATCCACCTTCCCCTACCTTGTTTGAAATTTTAAAGTAATCTGTTGCAAGTTCAATTTCTTCAATGGTGTATCTTCTATACCGAATGTGGTTTTGTGCCAAAGCATCCATTGCTCTCCTTCTCTCTCCAGCCTCCTGCTTGGCTTTCCTTTCTGCAATTTTTCTCTTATGGGTTTCCATACCGGCTAGTCGTTGTGCCATCCGTGCTGCTTCCATTGCAGCCTTGCTCTTCTGCCTCTCCACATTAGCCAAAGCCAGTGCAGCCTCTTCCGCAAGCTTGGCTTCCTCTAGCTTATGCTCTTCTGATGTCTTCCATTTTTGCAGGTCCCGCGTCTGGATGCACAAATACCACATTTTCAGGTTTTCAATCGAATAAACAATATTGGAGACTGTTAAAAAATCATAACCATATCTTCTAACATGTTCTTACCTTTTCTTTAGCTGCCAAAGCTTCTTTGCAAACTGAAGTATACATATCCATAGTTTGCTTCAATTCAAGCCTTAATCTCCTCATCTCAGCATCCAAGGCGGACTGTAACTCATGCAACAACATGCATTTCAATTCTCTATCCTCTTACTATCAAAAGAAATAAGTTCAAACCATTGAAATGAACATGTATTTCATGTCAGCATTCACTTTTATATTTTCCTTTTCTCTTTATTTATTTATTTATTTTTAATTTCCTTCTTTTCTGTTATTTGACAACAGTGTAGGTAGTACATTTTCCTACCATGTGAACTATAACCATCCAATACAATACCTTTTATGGTCAATTCTCATACAGTATGCTGTCATGATCTGGATAGATAATAAAATAGAGTGGTCTCACATGTTTTCGATCATTGTACTTACCGGCGTATGTGAGGAGAAAGAGTTAATGGAACCCTCCGAGTTCATTGAGATGTCTACATTGTCAGAGCCATTTGATTGGAAACTAAATGGCCCTGAGAAATCACTACCACCTGATATGGAATTCCCATGGGATAGCTTATCTGACGTAGCTGATGTAACTGACTGCGTTGGTGAATTTGTTTTGCTGCCAGACCTATGTGCTTTTGGCGGGACGTTCTTAAAATCAGCGCTTTTATCCAAAGATATTCTACCAGCTGAACTTCCTTGACTAAAATGCATTGTGCAATGCCGGAAAAAAGTCAACAACAAAAAACCAAACTTGTTTGAGGGGGAGATACAACATAAAACTTGTAAATGCAGGATTTGCAAATGTGAGTAATTCACTGTCTACCATCCAAAGAGTACATATATGTGGATACAGTCAGTATAAATTTATTTAATTTTTATATTCGATACGACATTTCATGATCCTAATGACATCTGGAAATTGAAGATCCTGAGTTCCTGATAAGCTACATAAACTAACAATCTTTTCCCTCTATTTTCTCTTGCCTACTGCCAGATCTGCTGAACTTTATTAAGATACCCGTTGATGTGGTTTTTACTTGCTGAAACAACAAAGTCTTAATAAGAAATCATAGAACTGATAATATTAAGTCATGCAGAAACATTTTGAATCAGTCTCATTACCATCATCTACAATGGACACAATTAGTCAGAATAGGCTAACATCAAGTTCCTGTTTACTACAATGATCACTAAAGAGTGTGCATATTAGTGGCCCGGAATTTATAGATTTGATGTCCAGTTATATTATCCACCAAGAATGGTTTAAAATGATACCCGATCACATCTTCAAAGTCTGGCACACCGTGAAGAAAGCTGGAAAGCGGTGTCCGTTGAGAGCTATTATTCCTGGGAGTAGCTGCATTACTTTTCGGTGTTTGAGGTCCAGTTGCTGACCGTGAAGTCCGAATTTTTCCTTTCGATATAACATATACAGCACAGGTTTCTGGTACAGATTTGAGTAAGGAAGTAGCCACATCTGCAGGCCTAAATTTTCTGCATCAAGACAAGTACCAAGAGTAGCTGTTAAATATTAAAAAAAAAACATAAACATGGGCTAATACTAGTTATCACAGAAATTATTTACTACTCTACTTTGGGAAGAGAGAGAGAGAGAGATAGAGAGAGACCTTGTCAGAGCATTGTGATGGGAAGCACCAACAACAATATTGCATATGGAGTTGCGAACCACATAATCAACGAGCGCATTTGGAACATCAATGTCGTGGAGGACAACTTCCTTGGCTACAATCTGAAAAGCTCATCGTCAACAACAGAAAAACCAGGTCACATCATGATCTTAATCTATCAGACAATATCCATGTGAAAAGATTTGGCAAGTTCTTGTTAACCTTCCATACATATATCTATCTACACATCCCTGGCCTGCTCTTTAGCACACATGAACTAACCAAGTTTTTGTGGAAGGCCATACATGATTGTGTTTTATCAAGAGAGAAATTGTAAGTTTAAACCATTCAAAAACTAGCCAAAAAGCATATGCATAAGGACTAATTAAACAAAAGCTTATATATTTTTAAAGTCCACCATAACAAACACTTCCAATTAAGTGTTCCTGGTGAGCTACTATTAGGGTTGAAAAGGCTTCAGTCTATATGGAAATCAAATGATCAATCACTAACCCCTTTTCGCGCACAGAATCCTCGGTAGGGGAGAAAGAACTGTTGCAACTCGGCTTCAGTTGGTGGGCGGCCATCTTTAGAGACTGCTCCATGATCATCTGCAAAACCAAGAGCACATATCAAGCACATACACAATCTTAATGAGATAAATGACCATGAAAAGGAAAATGATGATGCATGATCATTACATTTAACATCAAAATTAATGATAAAAAATTCCTATACACAAGGCTGTATGGTGGGGTTAAGAATTAATCTTCTACTTGCACAAAAAGAAAAGAAAAAAGGGCTTTTGGATATGCAACCATGACTGACATATGTTGCATTGTGAACATAAACCATGCACTAAGGGGCAAATGCCCCCTCCAAAATCCAAAAAAAACAAGGGAGATTTTTTTTTAAAATTTTAAAATTTATAATTATTTATAAATTAAAAAAAACTATATACCAAGCAAATTACAATGCAACCAATTAATATTATGTTCAGTGTGATCATATAGAATGATGATAATTATTAATGTGGTGATGATATGATCATGATGATGGTGATGAAGAGACGGATACCTACGATGATGAAAGCTGTGGCTTCTAACGTGAATGAGGGTGCAATGAGCGTTCTTGTCGCCCAAAAGGTTGTCAACTGCCCATTTCACGGCACACTGGCTGTTCTTATCTTTGTTGATGGCAACCAGGGTGGGGCCGACGTCCTCACCCACTGATCTTGATCTGAAAAGCGCCATTTAAACCCGAGCACCGCCTGCTGCTGCCGCCTCTGCCATGGGAGCTAGTAGCTGCAGGAGGGAGATTGAGAGTTGAGGAAGAAAAAAAAGGAAGGAGGGGAAAGAGGTGTTTTGGTTATTGCTGTTGTGATATATATTTGGATGGTGTGACATGGGAAAAACCAACTTCCACTAACCAATTTATAGAATGCTATCCTCTCTTTTCTAGCTAGCATTGCAAAGTGATGGGCTGTAACTTGGAGTTGGTTGTTCTCACAAGTCACACTTCTAGAAGTAGAGAGCCTGACTTTTCTGGTTGTCTAGGTACTAACTGAACATCTAGCAACTGCAATTGAATTCATAAAAATTAAAAGAATTGGGCGTGACTGGATTGTTACAAGTATTAGCTCAAGCGGCATGAAATGACTTGTAAAGACACATATTATATATTCGGTGTTTCGTGACATGCATATATGACGTGTATTTTAAGAGAAAAAAATTATAATTTTAGAATATAAGGTAGTATTGAACATTTAGCTCTCGCATTTTAGGCACAAGTATGAAAATTGTGTGGTAAATGTCTTCGAATGCGTTTTTAACAAACATTTTTTCTTAAAATGTTTTCAATATATATCCATCTTTTTGGCTTGAAAGAACTCATAAGATATGTGACAATCGAATTTGTGTTGGGAAATTTGACTTCAAATCTTAGTGAAAAATGACGTTGAAATTATGTATTAATTATTACCCAAAAAAAAAGAAGAAAAAATAGTAAATTTCAGCCTGTGCATCTCCTTGCCTATTAGATGATACTGGCCATCATCCCAATTAGGTGTAGTGTGCGTTCATGAGAAATGTATTTTTATTTTATTTTATTTATGTATATGCATTTGCAAGTTGAAATCGTTACATTGTTTCCTATGCTATTTTCTGGGGTTTTTTTGCTTTTGGTGCGTCGGGGGCCAGAAGCCCAATGAAGGAAGCAACAAACAAACATGAGCCCTACTACCAAATCTGATCCATCACCAGTATTGTCATAACTTAACCACCTAAGTACAATTCGACCGAAAAAATAAATAAAAAATCACCTAAGTTCAATAGGTTTTTTTTTTTTTTTTTAAGGGGGACAGCTGGTGGCAAGCCACGGCCATCCACCCCTTCCGGGACCCGGAGAGGCTATAGGGAATTTCACCCCGTTCCTGGCCCTCATCGCTTGATTCACCAACGGCAGGAATCGAACCCAGGAGGGTTAAGTTCAATAGGTTAGATATAAACGATTTAGATATGGGGTTTTATCTTAAAAAAAGTCTCAATGCAATTAATTTCTACAAAATTATTTACTTTTATATTATAAATTATTATGGTATTCTTCGATGTGAGATTATATTTGTTGGTTCACATTACTGGCTTGGGTCAAGCTACACAACCCCAAGAGAGACCTCCATCTGAATGCCACTAAACCAAATAATCAATGGCAGATTAAATCTCTTCATAGCCCCAAATTTGAGTTAGTTTTCATAATTTCCATTGGTTTTTAAGTTTTTGATTTGACCTCGCAGTAAATTGGAAATTGTAATCACCAAACGATGACCGAGCAACATCGAGGTCGTGTGACAAGTAGCACGAAGCTAATAAAAACAAGAGTACTGTGCAGGTAGACAGACATAATTGGTCCTAATTAAGTGTCGTTTTCAGTCCACGGACACGTGTCTTTCCTCAAAGTTTGTCTCATGAAAAGTCCATGGTTAGTTGTCTTCGTGTCAGCAGTGTCCTCTCCTCAGCATTTTCTGTCGCACAGAGACCTTCAAGTGATGTAACATTATTACATATCATCATGTATACGTGTCCCCAAATGGAGTACATAGTGAAAACGAAAGGCATTTCCGCACAACACACGAATCTCTCTCTCTCTCTCTTGACCATGTTTTTCTGAATTCAAGTCTCTTCAGCTTCAGCTGGTAAGAACCCACTAAAATTTTCTTATATTTTGTGTGATTTTTCTTTCCTATTTGTGTTTAGGAACTTATCAGGATCATGTATTAATTAGCATATCCAGATGTTCTGTCTTTGTGTAATTTATTGTGATGGTTGTTGATGATTTGGGATTGCCTGTGTTCCTTGGAAGAAGAAGAAGGAGAAGGAGAAGAAGATATATAAAAGATACTTTTTAGATAGGCTGACTGAGTTGGGTTGCCTTGGATCCAGGAAAACCCAAGTTCTATGTCAAAAAGTTTTCACCTTTGTCTGGTTTTCTTGTGATTACTAGTATTAGTTTCCTTTTTCCTAGGTTCTTTCTCATGAACCCTTTGCTTTCTCTTCTTGGATTTATAGATAAACGTCAGATTGCAGTTATTTTCATGTGCTTAGGTGTATATTTGAGGGTTGGTGGTGAGGATAGGATTTTGGTATTATGTGGCTGATTCTCTGCCAGGAGGAGAAGAGTTTGGTAAGCTAAGCACTACATAAGAAGCCCAATTTACCTGTGAAGTCTTGAAATTTTCATCACTGGGAGATTAGATCCATTGTTGCCCACCAGATCTGCTGACCCCATTTCATTCTGCTCATGTTTAGCGCATACCCATCTCTTATTTGATCTTAGTGGTGTAATTGTTGTTTGTGTTACTATAACTGTGAGAGGATTGGGGGATCAATGATATAATCTGCAAAAGAGGAGATATTGTCTATCCTTAAGAATTTTGCCCTAGTTCATTGCTGGAAGGTGTTGGAGGGAATTACAAATTGTAAATTTACTTTACTGAGTAGAGATTGAAGGTAACTGTTAAATGGTACAAAGACAAAGGAAATTGATGGAAGACATGTCTCCAGCAGTTGCAGTGACACTTAGTTTAGGTAATTCTATATGTGATAATTCTGGAATTGCAGCCAATGTGGAGTTCACATGGCTAAAGCTAGTAACAGACCCTGGAAGTTTGTCATCAGATTCCATTAAGGCAGTGCCTTTAGAGTCAGTTTCGTGCAGCAATGGAAGTTGTAATGATATACAAAGTCACGCTACTGTGGTGGCCATGTCATCACAAGAAGATAATGGTGGAGAGGGAGAGGGTTTGTTAAAGATGCTACCAGAGAATGGAAACACTTCTGTTAGTAATGATGCCATGGTTCAAGAAAGTGAGGGAGGTGAAATCTTATCCTTTAGATATGATACTAATGGAGTTGATAGTGAGGAATTGCTTAAGTTAGAGGTGGGGTCTGCAATAAGCTTGCCAGATGTTGTGGAGATAGGAAATGCCGTCGAAGGTAAGATTGTTGCAAAAGCCATTGTCTTGGTAGAATCAGCTCTTGGGAAAATGCCTTCGGGTGAAGTCATTGTTGCAGCAGTTAGCTCAGCTTCTGAGTTATCTGATAAGTCTGAATTAACAACCTCTACAGTACTTATCCAGTCAAATGGGGAGAAGAATGTCAGTAAAGCAAGTATCCGGAGTGTTTTTGAGCTGGACTGTATTCCCCTCTGGGGTTCTGTATCAATTTGTGGAAGAAGACCAGAAATGGAGGATGCAATTGCTGCTGTTCCTCGTTTTATTAATATTCCAATTAAAATGCTCGTTGGGAATCAATTGTATAATGGAATGAGCCAAAGTTTGACCCACCTAACCAGTCACTTTTTTGGCATTTATGATGGCCATGGGGGCCCTCAGGTACACGCCTTCTTCATACATTTATTTTATTCATTCAAGTTAAGGTTATTCTTATACAACAATTTCAAATTTATTATTGCAAGGCATATTGGTAATTAATCAAACTGTAAGCTATACTAAACAACATTGTGGTGCAACACATGCTTCTTTACGTTAATCTGTTTGATCTTTTTACACTTGTAAAACGATTTCAGAATTCTGAATTTGTGAACCTGATTGGAAGGAGTCTCCTCTTGCAGGTTGCTAACTATTGTAGTGAGCAGCTCCATTTGGCTTTGGCTGAAGAGCTTGGAGTCATTAAAGACGATTTGAGTGATGGAACTGTGGGTGAAAGTCAGCAGGTGCAGTGGGAGAAAGCATTCACTAATTGTTTTCAGAGGGTTGATGATGAGATTGAAGGAAAAGTTAGCGGAAACATCGTCAAAAGTGATGGAAATGCTTCCGAGGCTAGCTTTGATCCTATTGCTCCAGAAACTGTTGGGTCTACAGCTGTGGTTGCATTAGTCTGTTCATCCCATATTATAGTTGCAAACTGTGGCGATTCAAGAGCAGTTCTATGTCGTGGCAAACAAGCCATAGCGTTATCAGTCGACCATAAAGTAAGCATGTGTTTTTGGTTTACTTTTTACATGTTAAAAGAAAAAGCTTTCTCTCTTTGCAGTTGCAGAAACCAATCTTTCTTTTATCTTTTTATTTTTTATTCTTTTGTTATTGTTCCCAGCCAAACAGAGAAGATGAATATGCAAGGATTGAGGCAGCTGGTGGCAAGGTGATACAGTGGAATGGACATCGTGTTTTTGGAGTTCTTGCAATGTCGAGGTCCATTGGTACGTCTAGAGACTCTAGACTTACCCTGATACTCTAGACTTTTCTTGTGTTTTTTTTATAAAAAAAACGAAAAGAGATATAAAAGAACATTATGATTTAGAATGTGTGTGTGCTGTCTGTAAGTATGTTGAGTTGCTTGTCTGAACAAATGGATTGTGTTCTCTGACTAGCATTTCCCATAACGAATTGAACATCCTTTACTCTTTTTTCTCATCCTGCAGGGGATAGGTATCTGAAACCGTGGATAATTCCAGAACCAGAAGTGATGAATGTCGCTCGAGCTAGAGATGATGAATGCCTTATTTTGGCTAGTGATGGTCTATGGGATGTCATGACAAACGAGGAAGTTTGTGAAGTGGCTCGACGGCGCATTCTGCTCTGGCACAAAAAGAACGGAGTTACAGCTCTTGTGGAGAGGGGCGCTGGAGTTGATCCAGCAGCTCAGGAAGCGGCTGCCTACCTTTCAACGCTTGCCCTCCAAAAGGGAAGCAGGGACAACATATCTGTGATTGTGGTGGACTTGAAAGCTCAAAGAAAGTTCAAGAGTAAATCCTAAAATGAGGAGGAATGTTCACCCGCATTCTGTGGTTTCGGCTATGTCCTTATTATCCGACTCTTTATTTTTTCCGCCTATTTTTCTGGCATATGCTGATATATATAGAGAGCACAGCCCATTCGATTTTCTTGTGGGCTCAATTTGTGTACAAGTATAGAAATCTGTATGTACCTATCTCTACTACTGTAGAAACTATAATGCAATGCCCTATGTGCTTTTTCTATTTTTTTGGGTATGTGCAATGTTCTAGCTACTGGTTACATGAAAATGTGCTTTCTTTTGGTTTAGATGGATAGAGAACTTACCCTCTTTTTATATAACATCTAGAGAAAATGTGCAACAGATTTGCAGGTTTATCCATCTTCACCCTTTTTCTGAATAATGGTGCCAACTCGTTGAGTCAGTTACTCCATGAGAAGTAAAAGAAACGAGGAACGATTTATGAATGTCAGTTTTTTTAAGCGCGTCAATTTTTGTTGAAGTGAATTCATCTGTATAGAGATGTGGTCTACAAATTCATCTATAAAAATGTGATAAAAAGGTCGTCATGATAAAATAAAAAAATTGGTCAAACTTTATAACATTACTGCCACACAAGCACAGTAAAATTAAAAATCGTGCAATAGAAACGAAACAAAAAACTTAAGGCACTTTTGTGAAACTGCATCTAAATCTCACTTTATATGCCTGTAGAAAGAACCCAAATTCTTCCATATGCTGTCAACAATCCAAAGAATAAACAAAGCATTCATCTATTGCGCTTCTGCCGCCTCTGCCGCAATTGTGGAAATTGTAGAGGGACTGGAAGGGTAGCAAACATTACGTTTCTTTTGCGTACAAGCTTGCAACCAAGGTTCTCATAATGCTTTCTCAAAGCTATTGCGCTCATTCTCAGATCCTTTGCTATATCTGTTAAATCGGTCTCGAATTCATCCACGAAAAGAGTAAGCACCAAGACATAACTAATGAGGAGATTAGTTTTCTCATTTGATAGGCTCTTTGACTCCATAGGAAACATAGTCGAAAACTTATGGAATAGAAGGTTTGGGATCCTGTGGGTCCTGGAAGAGGAAATACCATCCATGGAATGCTGATCTTTGAACTTTATAAGATGCGTAATGTATGAGAATATGCAAGAAAGCTTAAACTTCTCCTCGTCAACCTACAAAGATGGACAACATAAGAATGTCGATTATTCTGTTTTCTTCACCATGAAATTGAATAGATAAAAGGGGGAGCAAAAGCATACTAGATTGAACTAAAAGGTTCCACAAATGCAGTTGTTAGATAACGATATGTACAGGAAAACATCAAAGGATGAAATACAAAAACTAAAGTCTGCAGTATTAACCCTTAGCCACAACATTAAAGCAGCACAAGAAACACAGCATATGTCTGTGTTAGTGTTTATAATGCAGAAAAGTAGTACCAGCCATTTTGGAGTAAAGGAAGAAACTCTAAAGTTGAAAATTAACAGTTTGTGCAATATAATAGTTTCCATTTTATCCTTTCCTTTTTGTTTTCCCTGAAAACTGCAATCAACTGGAAAAGGTTGGCCTTTTAATTCAGCATGCTCTTATAGAAACAGAAAAGAGGATTGGCCTTATACGCATATATGCACAACCACATCAAAATATTTAGAAGTATTCTATAGTAGTTTAATGGCCATCAGAAGAGATTTTCACTAATATGTTTCAGACAAAAGAAGGCATTTCTGCATTCTTACCTCAATATCCTGCAATTTATGGATTCTGTGGCAAACAAATCTTGGGAAAGCATCCCATGAAACTTCTGCTCCTCCTTGAAAATGCTCATAAATATCTCCAAGTAGATCCCACTCTCCTGTGAGGATGATCTTGTCCAGTGGAAATGCTTCTTGGGGAGTGGTGGCAGATTCATTAAACGGTGGGATATGGCGAGAGATTTGGCTTTCAGTACTTTCTAGAGCCTCCTTGTTTGGCACAATGAGTTTGATTTTGGCATCCAAATCCTTTTGAGATTCAGGACCGTCTTCTTGCTTCAAGGAGCGCAGTTTTTTACTCTGCATTGTCATAGAATATTCAGATTAACACACTAATGCTTCTCAAAAATCTCAATTGCGTCCAGCTTGATATAGTATTGTACAGAAATTCCCATATAGCCTCAGTTGTAAATTGCAAGTATCTTTAACCACACATAGCTCTAGCTGTCCTTTAATAAAATTTATGCATCAAGAGTTTTAATTTTTGATAAAAGGAATGGATTATTGAGAAACGTCCCCTCACCAACATTATAGCGACAAAATGGTTTCTAGTCATTATGTGGACTTCTTTTTCAATTTTCTTCAACCCTTGATATTTTTGTGTTTAAAACTCAATACTGGCATATAACATTTCAAAGAAGCTATAGAGAAAACAAGCAGTGATGTGGGGATTTAGTACAAAAGGAAAAGTGCTCGGACATATGCAGCAAAACCCATACTTATGCTAAAATTTTCATATGTTCTTCAAAACAAGTAGATTGGTCGCTGACTCACTGTATAATTTTTCCCCTTTACCTGGCTAAATTTATATAAATTACAAACAGAGACACTCAAACAAGGTGGCTGTGATTGTGGAAAATGCTTGTGAACCTTACTTAAAAACTTTAAAATAAAATAAATAAATAAAAAAGTAGGTTCTTACCTCCCTAATTGCCTTCTTCGTTCCATAGCGACTCTGGAGCTCCATTTGCTTCTCGGCCTTCTCTTCTCCAGTAAGTTGTTCCTTCACTGAACTTTCAGGCTCCTTAGCAGAGTAGTTATAGCCTCTAACCATTGGTTGTAATCTAAATATCTGAAAATTCACGTCCCAAGTAAGCAAAGCAGAAGCGATGATGAATACACACACTCACCTTAAATTCCTTGTACCAAAGTGTACTGTGAGATAACACATACATTCATACAAGCATATAGAATAAGGATATACTTGGTGTACATAACATTTTTAGAAGGCTCCTAACTTAGTTCTCCAAGTCTAAATCCAAATCACAATGACAACAAAAGCAACACCACTGAAGAAAAAGTTTACAAGTCACTAAAATATTATGGTTTCTGTTCTCAGCAATGAAACCCCAAACAAAACAAAAAATGTAAACTTTACATGTGCTTTATACTCACTGCATCACTTTAACAACTTCTAAACCAACCCAACAAAAACTTATAGTCCCAACCTACCTTGTTGGAAGCAACGGGCAAAATCTTCAAAGTCTGGGTGGCCTTATCAAGAACACCAAGTGCAAAATTGCAGCTCTGCCCAGTCGTGGCCTCACCAGTATAGTTAGTGCCAACAAAATCAACATTGGTCCCATTTGGGGTCACCACAATCTGAAGTCTTCTAGGTTTTTTGCTGTCCCTAAACAACCCAACATCGGTTGAATTGGAGTATGGGCTCTTGGTGGGGTCGAAGCTACATGGGAAATAGCCGACCAAAGGAGGGGTTTTCTCTGGGATGTCTGGGACGACTTGGATTGTGGCTTGGACTGTCGGGATTTTCTTCTTCTTCTTCTTGTGCTTGTGGGTTTGTGGCGTTGATGGGTTTTGGGTCATTTGGGACTTGGTGTCTTCTGCGTCTGATTCCATCGGTACAAGAAAAAAAGAAAGAGAAAAAGCTGTGAGCTTTGGAGGTTCACTGATGGTAGTGGTGGCGGTGGGTTGCGCAGGTTTGTTGCACAGTTAAGAGACTCTTGTGAGAGATTTGAGGAGAGGTTGGGGCCGCTTGGGTTTATGAGTGAGGGTTTTGGTAGGCTCTTTTTTTGTTTTTATTTTCGGGTTTACTTTTTCAAAACAACAAAATAGAATGATACCGGTTAGGGAACTTGATTTTAATCTCCGACCAACCAACTATACTTCTCGCATACAACTCTTCTTAGTGGCGGATCTATAAGTTTTTCTTGAAGGGGTCAACGTGTAAAATATCGAAAAAAATACTTTAGATAAAAAATTTCATAAAAATTAAATTATAAAATTATAATTTATAATTAATGAAAAAATCAACATTATCTTGAAATTTGTGCGAGACATCAAAATTCCAAAACAAATTGGAAAAGTTACTACCGCCACTAAATTCGGTGGTCGCCGGTGGTTGTTGAGTGGTGGTTTTGGTGTGGAGGGTTAGGCTTGGGAGGAGTTTGTAAGAATAGGTTTTATTTGGGTGAAATTATATTTGAAACAAATTTGGGAAGGGGGTATTGGGGAGCTTAATATCTGCTAACCCTCTTTGTTTTAGTATTATTTTACTTAATTCACATGGCCAACAATTTATGAAGTAAAAAAAACAAAAATAATAATAAACTGACATGTTCCAAAATGACCACGTTTTGGCCAGGTATAGCAATAAATCAAACGTGATTGTATTTTTTGATACAAACGATACTTGAACAAGGAAAATGGAACGCATATATGAACTTAACTGAAAGTTAGTTATAATGGATATGCTCTCTACTTTGCACTTGACTAAGATCTGATCTGATAAATAAAATCATTTGATTCAATTGGATCTGATAATTTGATAGATTATTAACAAATAAGTTCATATTTGATTTAGGGATTTATTAAGTAAATTTGATGCAACAACCCGATTCAAATTAAGTTAATCCACCCAAAAACCAAGTTCAAATTCCCTTTTACATAGTTTAATGGTTAGCTAAGAAGTTGAAAATTAACTATTTAATTTAATAAATAATTTAGGAAGTAGCAAAGTTTTGAATTATAAAAGGTTATACCTACTCTTTCATATCAATCCAATGTATATATAAAACGTTAATATAGATTTGTTAAGTTAATGAAGGAATTATCAGGTTAAAAAGTGGAAATCCATATCCTGTTAATTACACCTTCGATCTTTCTTTCTATATTTTTTTCCGTTATGAGGTACGACATGCCGTTTAATGGCGTACCTTTCGTTGCAGCAGATTCTTGCTTGGTTCGCGCACACACACAATCATTTTATATTTTTAGATTTTTTAGGTTTTAGACATAAAAAAAATTTCACTTTTGGAAAAAGCCAAAGTTTTTTCAAAAAAGACAAAAAAACCGCTCAACTTTCAAATCAAAGACATGCAAATGTATTGGATTCCTTAGAAAATCTAAAAATAAATAAGGGCATTTTTGTCCATTTTTGCTTCTTTTAAAATTTTTCTCTCTCCTTTTGTTTTTTCTAAAATGTCCCTTACATTTTTCTCGTTTCTTTATATTTAAAACTGTGAAAACGTAAAGAAACAGAGCCTGTCTCTGTCCTCCCCTTTGTACTCTCGAGTTGATTATCAATGGAGATAAAAACGTTCGTACTTGATTAGAGAGAAAGGCACTTCGTACCAAAAAGCCATTTCTTCATTCCTCGTCATCAGCAGCTGCTTTTGCAATCATCAAAAGCACTCCTTCACAGAAAGCCGCTTCTGCTAATTTCAGCTCTCCGTTTGACTGTTTCTTCAGAGGTAAAAGTTTCCTCTTTTGCTCTTTTCAAAATCCGTCTCTCTCTCAGTCTTCGGCTCTTTCCTTCTTCTTCTTTTTCTTCTGGGAAAGAATTGGAAATTCCGAGTTGGGTTGATTTCTATCACTGCATGTTTGACTTGTTTCAATTTTTAGAGTGATCTTTCCACATGAATTCTTTGTTTTGATTATGGGAAATCCTTTGCTCAAACATGGGTTTTCTTATTTTTTGTAATTCTTGAATGCTTTTCGTCTTAATTTTCCTAGAACACTTCACTAAAGTTGTTTGCTGTTATTTTGGTTATCATATATTGGGATTTGCAATGTAATGTAATTCAAAGTTTGCTATCTGAAAAAATAGAGGAAGGTTTTTGTGGATTTGTAACCAGAAATCCTGTTTCCACCCCAAAGAATAAAATAGAAAAACTGTTTGTGTTTGCTTGCTGGTAGTTTCCTCCCATTGAGTGCGTACGGCTTTCTATATACAAAAGAACTGTTTTCTCCTTCCTTTTTGGGTGTTGCTAAAACCCACTTGATTGGGGTTTTCTTGTCTTCTACTTCAAGAAAATTAAAAGAAGAAGAAAGAACAAATCTTTCATGAGGTTTGCTAGTTGCCATCTTAAATCACCCCTCCTCTGGCACTTCTGGAGAAGGCACAATAGAATAAAACTAGCTTGTGAATTCTTTTTGGCATGTGGCATTTAGACTCAACTAAAAGGAGAAGAGTTAGCATCGCAATTGATTCTGCAGATCATTAGTGATATTTGCTGCATATGACAGCACAAGGAGATTTCTTATGCAAATATGATCTCTTGATTCTTTTATTTTGAAGAGTAATCTATTTGTAACCCAACAACCATATTAAGGTTCTGTTTATCCTGTTATTCTTTTACATGGTGGAAATGCAATTAAAAATAAGAATCTAGAGTTACAATCTTAGGCCTTTATCATTGTCGGTGAAGTGTGATGGGGATCCTCTTAGAGTGGAAATTTGATACGGAATTATAAATTCTTCGTAAGTCAAAGATGGTGAAAAATTTAATCTACCAGTGGAACATGGCTAGGCCTTGAGACGAACTGATGCAGAATTTATGCAGGATGATCAATTCCCTTCTGCCATTGTGATCTCTTTAGTTAGCTAGCCAGAGTGATTATTCTTTATTTGTAGGATGCACTACCAAGAATTTGGGAAGGCCCTTTATACATGATTTTCATTTGGAGGGCATTTCCCTTCCTTTTGAATCTTATCCTTGTATAGTTTTTTCAAGTTTTAGTATGAACTTGAATGGGTAACAGTTCTGAGTAAGTGCTGCTTGAATTGTGATAGATGTCTATGATTTCTATTTCAGAAATTGCATCCATCCTTGAGTAGTTGAGATTATCTCGTAATGAGATATGTTTCTCATGAGGTGCTGATCATTAACCTAAATGCAACCATATTGCGGTATGACTAATAAGTCTTTCAAGTCTGGACCTGTCAATAACTGCCTTCTCTTTGCGGGAATATCAATTTGCACAATATAATGACCTATTTGCTTTTGTCTCCCTTTACTTTTTATGTTTCTTTTGAGTGTCTATGCTGTTTGCATCTTTTTATCTCAACCATTACGGTCACATTGTTACCTAAATGCATCAGTTAAATTGTCTTGGATTGGTTCCTTCGCACATCTTCCTTTGTCGTACTTCAACCTATCTTCACTTGTTTAACAGCATATACTTTTCATATAACAATTTCTTTTCTTTTCAGAAAAAAATACTACAGTTACTTTCAAGGTGGAGAGCAGAACTGAGGGTGATTGTGTTTGGGACAGATGGATCAGAGTATGCAACTCCTTCTGCATGCTAGTGCAATTTATTTTTCCATATAAAATGGGACTCTGCACAAATGTTTATAGTAGTAAAATGTGGTGAATTGGATGAAGTTGTCATGCTCATGTGGGATGCTGCTGGCAGCATAATGGTTAATTTTTTAGATTTGAAATCAATTGGTAAAGATTAAATTTTATATTAAATCAATGACCTGACCCATGTCTATATACTGAGACCTCCATACCAGTTGTTTAGTCCTCTGGAGCTGAGAAGTCTACATTTACAGTGTCAAATGTCAGAACATTGAGTGAAAATGACTTTTAGAGGACTATAGGAGTCCTTAACACCTAGGGCAGGTTTCAAATGTGTTCTTAAATTGTAGAAGTTATTTTCCAGTTTTCCTCATTATAATTTATCATTGGTGACTAAGCTTATACAAAAGCTATGTGCTTACTGTAATAATTGATCATTTCTGTTAAAGTTTATGGCAAGACGTTATGGGATTACCTTCTGAAAGTGATTTGGTGGATGTAGTGAACCATAGAAATGGCAACTATGCTCCTATCAGGGATCAAGAGGACCCAATATTGGGAATATTTGACAAACCGCTTCCTTGCTTTGGTTGTGGAATTGGATGGTTTTCGTGAGTATTCCTGTTTTTTCTCTCTCGCTCTCCCCCCGCCCCATCTTTTCTCACTAATGGATGCGCCTTCTTTTTTCAGTCTTTTGCTTGGATTTGTATTTCCAGTGATGTGGTACTATGCTGCATTTCTCTACTTTGGGAAGTATTATCATAGAGACCCAAGGGAGCGAACTGGGCTCCAAGCTTCAGCAATAGCTGTAAGTTTTATGCTTCTGTTTGCACACCCTTTTCTTCTCAAGACACCACCAGATATGGTAATACTCATTTTACCCTTATTTATCCAGTTATCTTTTTCTAAAAGAAGAAGTTTAATTTTTCCTATTCCCTTCCTCCCCCTGCCCTCTACCCCTCTCTGATCCTTTTTGTGTTCTTTTATAAAGTTTAAAATACGTGAGATTGAAATGGGAAAGTTCTGAACTTTTTTTAGGGAGGGGTTGTAATGAATAAAAAAGATGTAGCAAATAGAAGCACCCATAATTGAAATATTGTTCTGCATTGTTATTTATGGCCTTTATCATCTTTCACTAATCACAAATGTTGTGACTGTTGCAGGCTTTGATATGTACAACTGCTGTGTTCATAGTGGTAGCTGTCTTTGTTTTCAAATCCTTTCTCCCATAACCTATGTCGGCGTCATACAAAATTCTCTATGATGATGTTTAGCTCAATCGTCCTTCCTGTAATCGTATCAGGCGCAACCCAGGAAAATGTTGGCATCATGGTATGTCCAGCTACTGATACCTGAAGCAGTTTGGGCTTCTCTGTAATAGTGAGCAAGGCAAAAACCGTGTATAGCTCCCATATAGTGGGAATTCTATGTACAGAAAATATTGTAGATGAATAATGCTACTCTTACCACATTTTCATACCACCTTATGTGGCAGACGAGTTGGACAACCACATCAATTAAAATTAATGTAACATTTTCTTTTCTTTTATGGTTTATTGACACTTTTTAATTGATGTGGAAGTCCACTTCATTTGCCACATAAGGTGATATGAGAATGTGGTATACAAATGTGGTAAGAGTAACATTACTCATTGTAGATAGGTAGCACATTTACAAGTACACATGATATTATCATCTCACGCGTGCACACATCTGCAAATCAACTCAAGTGCTAGAGGCTGCAAATCAGGTTTGGTCCATGTTTAAGAATTAGCTTGTTAAAGCACATTCCATTGGAGGGGAGAAGAAGGTATGATGAGTTTTCGCTTCAAACTTTGTATGCATAGAGATGGAGTGGTCTACCTCTTGGTATACACTTTTAATATGCCATCCTTCTGCGCCTTGGCATGTTCTTAGATTGCAAATTAGGATAAGAATCTGCTGTGCAAATGTTGCTTTTGCCCGTCATTCGGGTTGATCCAAGTGGTGACGAATGCTAGGGAAATCGGTTAGGTCAAGAGTTTGATCCCTTCTAATGATTTAAAACCGATGCTTTTCTCTTGCTATTGCCACATCCAAACTCCTACTAAAAATCCTTTATCCAAGCAAGTGATAGGAACTTCTTTGGGAAGTCACAATTAAGAAACCTAATCTGTCATTATACCTAACCCCTTTTCCTTCACCACCAACTTCACTATTCCCATTGATACATTAAGTATGTTTGTTGGTCTCTCTAAACACCCTTTTTTCTTTTTTGGATAAAGGCATCAGGAGGACCACTTTCACCATAAATTTCTAAAGCAATCAACTAGTGTCATATCACTTTATGTACCAAAGTTAAAAACGTTTGGAATTTGTTTTCATGCAAAATCCAAACTCTGCTGGTTTCAGTTTTTCAGCCGTGGAACTTTTCTCTGTGTGCTGTTCTACCAATCCTGTATTGATCAAAATATTTACCTTTTAGCCTGATTTCTCGCGTGAGCTTGGGATCCCATCCCATCTCTGGCAATCAAACCTGCCATACTGACACGAGAAGCTTTCGTTTGGACGGACCCCCTACACGGTGTCGTGTATTGAGTGCCTTCCCTACCTTAGTCCAAACCAAGGTCCTTATTTTCAATAATTTTGCAACGGTTCACACACAACGCATCAAACTTCAAGCATTTCACCGTCACGTGAGCGACTGACTATAACATTCCTCTACGTTTGTCTCCATAATTTTTTAACTTTGTATTTTAGTAAAGAGTAAAAAAAAAAGAGAAAACAAAGAGGATAACTATAAATTATTATTTTTTAAAGAGAAAAACAAAGATATTATGAAAAAAGACCTTTATTTATTTATTTTTCTCTTCACCTAGTTTAGATATCCCCACCTCCCCCCCCGGCCCGGGGGGCAAAATCCTGATTCCTGACAGTGTCTTAAAGCACAAGTTCACAACGTGCAAGCTGTATTTCTTGCGAAGACTGGGTTGCGGTGGCACACCTGCCCACAAGACTAAATTATTCAAAATCAATTTACCAAAAACAATTTACAATTATGAAAACTATATAATTTTAAAAAAACTAATTACCAAAAGCCATTAGACTAGAAAAATAAAACTAATTGCCAAAAACCAACAAATTGAAAAAGACAAAAGAAGTCCAAATTGCATGTAAAGCTAAAAAGGAAATCGGTGATGTAGATGAATTACTCATCTTTTATGGTACTAAACCATTTTGGAGACCAAAAAGGTCAATTTTCTTGCAGCCAAAGCACGGGTACAGTATTGTAGCTATATCCAATGTTACCCTTCGCAACACTCGACATTTGTTCATAAGTTTAATCATAATTAACTCTTTATTTTGTATTTGTAAAACCATAGTTATGCTTGTGAACACGAGTCAAGTATTAAGAAGAGTCTTGATTGTATACCTTGAGTTAAAGGGGTAAGCAAAGATGCTCGTTTTTTTTCCGGATAAATACCACGAGATGTCTCTCATATTTAATTATAGCTATAAAAAACCCAACAAAATAGATGAGCCTCAACCACTAGTCACTTTATATCTATAAGCTAATACAACATTTATTTTTTTAAATTAAGGGTTTAATGAAAATATAATTTTATATGTGAATACGATTGTCATACGCGGAAACGTATTGAGTGTATGTATGACCATGACACCAATTTGAAAAAAAGAAAAAATGGCCTAAAAAAGCACATGGTTTACTATCAAGAAAATCAATCATCTACCAATTCATTTAGCTGTCATTCTAGCAATGACAGGCAACACACAAACAAATATGCTTTGCTTGCTTTGGCTTCTGCCTTTATATAAGCAAAAGCTCACCTCACCCAAAAAGCAAAAGCCAAAACCAAAAACCAAAAGCCACAACAACAAAGCAGTGTGTGCAAAAAGAAGTTTACTCATTTCTCTCCAACTTCAGCCTTTCATTTCTCTCTCCCAACTCAAGACACCAAAAGTTGAAAACCAAACCAAACAGAACCCAAAAACAATGGAAGAAGAGGAAGACATGGTTCCACCATTCTGGCTCCAACCCTCCGATTCTTTCCGGCAAGCCAACCGCCGCCTCCGCCGCTCATCCTCCTCTGTTTTCTTCAGCTCCGGCGCCTTTATCCTGGCCTTGCTAGCCATAGCTCTTGTATTTATTTTCTTTATAATCCCATCAGTTTTGTCGTTCACTTCACAAATTTTTAGACCCCATTCCGTCAAAAAAAGCTGGGACTCTCTCAATTTGGTCCTCGTTCTCTTTGCAATTGTCTGTGGGTTTCTCAGCAGAAACACCAACAATGACGGCAACATCAGCAGCCCCTGTTCTTATGATCAAGTTCATAATCAAACTGTTTTCAATTCTTCTTCACCACAAGCTCCCAAGTCAAATCCATCAACCCCGCGTCAGTGGTTCGATCAGTATTCAGATCGGACGGTCTACAATCACAGCAGTAGCAGCACCAGTGCCGCCATGAACAGAGGAGTGAGGACCAGCAGTTCGTACCCGGATCTGCGGCAACAGGAAGCTTCGTGGGTCGCCAGAGATGATCGGTGGAGGTTTTACGACGATACACATGTGGTCAATTATCGGGTTTCGGGTTCGGATCCGCTCCATCATCGTCGTCATCGGTCATGGCATGAAGAATCCGTACAACTACCAGTAGAAGAAGAAGCAGAACAAGTCCAAACCAAGACTATAGAAGTTGACACTTTTG